TTACTCTTAACGAATGCTGGGTCTGATCCTACCATAAAACTTGACACGTTCACTAAGTTTAATTACAACTATCGCCATCCACCTAATTAAACTTTGTATTAACATTACTTCCAATAATGTCCAGGCCATCTAAAAAACATATAATCTCTCCTGATGCCTATAGCACCTGCAAAAGATCTAAATCAGTCACTAAAGCGAATAATGCGAAACCTTATAAACACACTGATCAGTCTACATCCTACTCTGATCTTCCCTCAGCCACACTAAACGTGCACCCTTTACTTGGACAAGACATATCGCTACCTTGCATCTCGCTTGTCGATATAAATAAGAGCAGTCACATACCGTTAAAGTCGACATCATTTGTCAGTTCCAAAAAAGCACCAAATATTGTGAGCAGTATTTAGACAGTGCGGCTGACCCCAAACACCCAACAATTTTACAACCGGCCATCCTAAGTAGCGGCTAACGGATTACATGTAAGCCTGCCTTCAATAGCCAGCCCGATGACGTAGATCTTGACTACTCACCCAGACATATACCCCATCCCCCAACTAAGTGTGCACAAAGTGACCACCCGCTAGACACCTGCAACAGGCCTGTATGTAACCATATCGGCCTTAAAAACTTTGATATAAACTTCAATAATCCCACCACTGGTAGACCTAGAAGCAGCCAAACAGAACTTAGCCTCACCCAAATTATTTTAGACCTATTACCGTACAAATATTTAATCAGTGTTCCAGAAAATCCCGACCCTGAAATTATCAAAAACACTGAAAAAGTAATAGACCATATATCAACCGAAGTGGTGAAAAGACTTCAGTGTATACAGAATGTCATTGTGTATAATATACCTGATAGTACGAACATAAAGATTGCTAAAAATACTCTGCTACAAGAGTGTAGATTGTCGCAATCTTGGTGTGTAACAAGGAGATTACGTAAAGGACACACTAAAGCCTCATGTCACATTCTATTTCAGTTTGGTAGTACCACTGAAGCTGATCACCTCCTTAATAGTCATTCATTACTGAGGCGTTTTCCAACATTTAAAAAGATTAGGATCATTCATGACAGGACCGCTATCCAGCGTCGTACCTGCAGTGGAACACAAACTGATCAACCCAGCTTACGTAGCCGCGGCAGCTACAGCTCCTGTCACTGCACAAATCCTAAAATGTCATACACTGCCCCCCCCCAAAAAAACGGAGGCACGTCGGACACTGCTATTAGTCCTAAGGACAAGACCGCACATAAAGCAGCTACAACCACTCACCCTCAGCCCAAACACTCAGCTACCCCAAAATGCCAAACCACTTATGCCTCAATAGCGTCCAAGTATTACCCTAGCGGCCCCTGTAAAATGCCTAAAAATGACCCTCCCAGGAATTGCGCTAACAGCTACAGACTCTCAGACACCGCTGTACGAAATAATACCAAACTCTCCGTAAAAACCCACTAATACTCCAGCACCCCTAACCCAAAACATGCACCGTCTCATAGCAATTGAATGCCCCACAACAAACATAGTGAACAGGCAACACCCACTCATCCTAATGTGAAACGACATTTGACAAGAACCACACCCACACGTGATACTCACAAGTCATATAGTGTCAACCTTGTAAGCCCCATGAACCAACACAAAATTATACACATCGGAAACACCTCTCTTAGCAACAATAACAGGCATTTTTTAAATTTCTCATCAGAAACATACAACCTCCCCAACTAACCACAATAGGACTGAAATATGAAGGTGAGAAGTTGCAGGTACTTTTCATCGCAAGGGTAAACATATTAGGTACCTGTTGACATCATACCGTGAAAAATTTGCGAGTTGTGAAATATGATCTATAAAAGAGTGAGCTTAATAACAGTTAATTACCATTTTACTCCCTGATTATGAGCTTTCGCCTTCCTATTATGGCCAAAACAGCATACATACACTACACACTGATAGCAGATTTCCGGCTTTTCAATGTTAAGCTTGCTTTAACACACTACGTAATGAGTACAACTCATCTATTACTGCTATATGGCATATTTTTTATAACAAACCCTCTGCAATAGATTGGTAGCATCTGTGATCTCATCTATAGTTGTCGGAAGTCTGAGTCCTTTCGAAAACAATACTGATATCCCCTACTGCTAGGCACTCAGTATTAGTTTGACTCGCTGGTGTGATAGTGTTGTCCATAATACTGAAGAGAATTAAAAACCGCAGATTGTTTCTTTTCATTTTTTTCCGATAACATAATAAAGGACAGTTAGGAACAAACATGCGAACAGTTAGAGTCACAGGCGGCAACAACAACTACTTTCGCTAAATAAAAACGAACTTCCGCTTTGTATATCTAGAAAACAAGATAAAACATAACCGATTATTATTTAAAAACATAAGGTCTTATGTTAGTACTGGCCAGCTTAGCTGAATAAATACATTGACTTTAGTGGAAGCAGAAAAAACCCAGAAAACAAATCAAAATCAGAAAACATTTTGCTACAACGTTTAGAGTATTACATTAACTTCTGCACTTTAGCATACTGAAACATTAAATTATATAGCTACACAAAAGAAATAGCGGAAAAACACAGAATGAAGAAAGGTGGCCGATATTTTATAACACAAGACTAGCCAGATTGCCTGAAGAAATACATTGACTTGAGTAGAAGCAGCAAAAACCCAGAAAATATCGCTGATTTGAAATAAACTTCACACCAACATATAGAACATTACAGTAATTGCGGCATTTTAGCACACTGAAACATTAAATTACATAGCTACACAAAAGAAATAGCTGAAAAAGCACAAGACGTAGAAAGCCGACCGCCATTGCTTACAAAGATGGCGGATATAATGATTCCCGCCTCATTCTGATTGGTTGCTAAGCTAAAGGCTACATTTACGAAATTGAGTTGTGTTTAACAGCACCCGTACCTGTCTCTAAAGATAATGTATATATTTTGAGTAATAGCGTATGTCTGCTCCTGACATTTTATAAAGGATTGATGGGATGTCATCGGCGCCAGAACTCGCACTCAGCGTAATTAACTCATCCTAACTGCCAAACCAGAACTAATGAACGGGTAAGGACACTGCGAGTGTATTCATTAGCATAACAACACTGACATGATGTTAATTACATTTACCTCAACAGTAATGATAAGAATAAATGTTTCCATACTTTCGCTGGATATCTATAGAGACATTGGGCGATAACCACACAATCTTTAAAGCTGAACATGAGATAACTGGGGAAATAGATATTCAAAATTTAACTTGGGGAAAAGACTAGCATTGGAGAAAGCGGAAGTATTGATTCAACGCAATAAATCGGATGGCACGGCTCAGCTTCGCAAACGTGGCCATTCTATATAACTTGTTTTTACTCACATCTAATATATTACCACGTCTTTAGCCTAAATGTGTTCCTTATTAACTCCAGACATCATATTTCTAATTGTTACGATACGATGAGTCAGAGTACGCGATGATGTGGTTTCCACGTAAGATCCTATTGATTAGACGGTCACATCATGAAATATCTGCAATTATAGGGTTAAGCCTATTATTATAATTGTATTGATGACAAAGTGGGGCTTTATTTTACATATTCAATGAACATGATATTTAGACGTGTGACAAAGGTTTAAAAATTTCAGATGTTTTAGTCATTTTGTAAAACGTTTTAGGATGCTTCACCTTCTAACATCAAGAAAATATCCCTTACCTTAATACCATATTTTCTAGCTATGAAGAAAATTGAGATGGTTTTTGTATATGGATTACACTTCATAGAATGTTGTATAAATCACAACCATGCAGACGTTTGATCAGAAAATAAATGAGAGTGTTGGAGTATCTGATTACATTATGTGGAAGTGACTATGGAACGTTATAAAGGATCACAAACATGAAAGTAAATCATCGAATAAAAAATGGAAACTGCCCTCCGGTTACTTTGGTATTTGTCCATTGGTGATTTGTAGTAGATAACTGTTAAATGTGGCAGTGATCCAAGAAAATGGCAGACCAAGTGCGAGATATTATTCAGTTAATTTTTGAATTTGCATAGCTCTGTAATTTGATTCAGCGTATTTCCAAAACGTGTTCAAGGCAGATATGTTGCTTTGACCGAACGAACGACACGAATGGAACTTAAAATCACGGGAAATTCTTCAGTTAAACTGATTTTAAGTTTTGAGTCATTCCCATTTTCCGTCTGACCATGAATCTCGGCACTCAGAAATAAGACAGGAAGTGACAACATAAAACAAGATTATAGAGGATGACTTGCTGAGTAAGTTGATGTATAAGATGGAACAAATATTAGTGGTAGGGCGTACGTTTATCGGAAGAGCTTTCACACTTATCAAAGTCACACCCGGAGAATAATATCTAACGTGGTGCCTAGGTACTGAGTCCGATTCGATAACCGTATAAAACAAACATGGCTCTATTAAAAGGATGAATTAGGAAGAATGGTTTTCGAGAAACAGTACGACCGCCGCCTCGTTGGGTAGTGCGTGGTGTGCAGCTGAACCTCCCTCATTATTCATCCTTGACAGTGATGACATCCAATAAACCATTTAAAGATCAGTGATCTGTCGTCTGAAGTAAAAAGTGGATAAGTGTGATGAATGATTTGGCTTGGGTTCGGTGAGATTTCACTGCACCAACAAATCTGACCTGATAGTATATATATATATATATTATCCATTATGGCGTGATCCATATTGTTTTACGTAATGCTTTTCTGATTATATGTGTGGGATAAGGCAACCCGAAATCCAATAGCATAATATGTTAGTACTAGTTTTGTGACAGAAAATGCTTTATAAACTTGATGTAGTCATAAATGACCTAACTTCGGTTTCAATAAGGTAAAAAATGAGCTGAATCCATTGGACTTGGATGACGTCTGACAATTGTTTAAAATAGTCATTAGAAGCGCCATTTAGGGTTTTCGTCAAGTACTTGTCATTAGTTTGGGATGAACGCCAACAAGGATGAAGCACAGAAATGTGTCTCTATTGCTAGAAAACATTTAGTCACAGGGGATCGTAATGGTGCAAAAAAGTTTGTCCTGAAAGCCATGAAATTGGACCCGTCAATCAACATAGAAGGTTAGTGTTTTTCAATATGCCATTATATTTCAAGGACTGGAGTTTTTAGTAAGACCTAGGTCTCGTTCGTCTAGCACGAAAAAAGGCACCCAAGAAAACGAAGGTTCTGATTCCGGCGCCGAATCTACCGGAAATAAGCAACCGGATAAGGAGTTTACTAAGACCCAAATAGATTCGTTGAGGAAAGTACTTGCTTGCAAAAATTACTACGAAATTCTTGGAGTGTCGCGAACTGCATCAGACGAAGAAATTAAAAAGGCTTTTAAACTGTAAGATGGTTTTCTGTTTTATTTTGTTTAAGTCATGCCCTCAAGTTTCATCCTGACAAAAACAGGGCCCCGGGTGCAGCAGAAGCGTTTAAAAAAATCAAAAAGGCATACGAAGTGTTGATAGATCCGGAGAAACGCCAGCGCTATGATCAATATGGTGCGGAAGAAGAGCAAATCAGGTCTCCTCAAGTTCATCGGCACGGGGACACGTTCTTTCAATATGATGGTAATGCTTTACATTGACTAAACTAGTAATTTAAGCTGATGTCTTCACTATGTTTTTCAACGGGGGCTTTCCGTTCTCACAAGTCTATCGTGATCATCGCCACCGGCCTCATAGGTCACGAGAATCAGAGCGTGAAGTAAGTCAGTGATACCACATCTTGATTATTAATCATAACCGCTTATTTATTTCTGTACAGGTAATTATAAACTGGCTGAATGTATAAAATGAATAATAAAGTTTGTGCTAAACAAAAGGTAAAAATAGTATATAAGTCGACATAAACCAAGGAATAAATAACTAGGAAAGACTGAAGGCCAATAATGGATGCTATAGTAAAGTGATGTGGACAATTAATGTAACGTCTTAGCTTAGGTTGTTCGATTGTTCTCTCCGCAAGTAACTAGTCCTTAAATGTTTACTAAGTTCAAAGCGTTTATTTAAAGCCACCAACGTAGAGGGTTGTGGCCACTCATCTGAATAGGCATGTCAGGCAACAGACTCGGTGTTCCATACCATCTCTCGACCTTTGTTACTGACAACGATATAGCTTGTATAATCTCATTCAGTATATTCAAATTTGAATCCTTTCTAATATTAAAGGCTCTTTATATATGTTTCCAGTTATTGCTTGTGTTGATCTGCTTTTGAGTTGACCACTATGAAGTTAGGAGCAGACATCATATTGTCTAGTCATGAATTTCTTGATTCTCAGATGTTATTGTCGGTAAAGTTTATGATTTTCAAATGCATGTTGTCAGTATTCTTTCCGGATAAGTAGGTAATTGAGAAACACGACAAACAACAATTTTATAGGTTTTCGCATAGTCAAACTATTTCTAGGTAACTCGGTACTGTACTTGTTCAACCGCTTTCAGGTCAGATAGGCGTCTTTATCTCAGATAAGGGTCGTATTATCTGGTTTCAATGTCTCAGAAAGTGCAATTCATAGTGTGCTTCAAAATCTTCCATCATCAACCTGTTACACGTTTCGATGACGTCAAATCAGTCTCTTACAATATTAGAGACCGAGTCCTCGAAATAGTCTTTTAAGATTGACACAGCTGCTCTACTACTTCTTTTTGTCATTTTTACCTTTTTGAGTTTATCTTCGACATTTTATATGCTCTTGTTCTCGATAATAAGCATTTTTCTGTATAATTTCGGCTCATATTTTTGAAAAAATAAACGTGTAAGATGTTAGTGCAATGTTTTTTTTTGCATTTTGTGTTCAGGAGGTTTTATGATTAGTACACCAGCATTCTTATTGGCCCTTTTTTCAGAGTAACTACTTCGTATACGTCCAGTTGATCCCGCTGATAATTTTGTTTGGCCTATCTTTCTTCAGTAATCTTTTTGTAAAGGATCCATACTTCAGCCTGACTAAATCAAAGTAAGTGTGATCACAGATGGTTAATTCATGGCACATTTTACTGTAATTTGTAGAATAACAATACCATTCCCGACATATTATTAAGAACTTCGTTTTAGTGTAAAACTGAAGTGTTTGATATAGAGTGCAGTAAATTTTGTCTTTCCTTGATTGAACTCATTCGCCGTATGGGGTCTCGCTTTCTTGGATTTAGGCTGTTCTTTAGGTTGAGGACTTGGAGTGGCCTAAATAAGGTAGGTGGGGAGGAGTTTGAACCTACGACCTAGAGAATAAAAGCCTGGTGCTTGGAACACTAAGCCACAACTTTTTTGGTTTCGGTATACGTGACAACTTGGGTAGTTCTTTGTTTTTCATCTTGAAATATAAAAAGTGATAAATAGCTGGATTTCAAGTTCTTTGCTTTAGCGAATACTTTGAGGATTAGCTTATTGAGTGCCGTTTTGTTTTTGTCTATTACATTGATGTAGCTACAGAAAAACTGTATGCTCGATCCATTCGTATAGTGCTTCTCTACCTTAGAACCATATGTAATGTGTTAGCGCTTACGCTTAAGATTATTGTCTGAGTAGTCATACTAAAGTTCATAATGACAGTATTTACCTCTTGTTTTTAAATATTTCTCCATGTCGTTCATCTATACCAACTTGCACTGCAAGTACTTGCAGCATTCTTCAAAAACCCAACTATTTCACTTTTAGAAGTAATACTGAAAAGATTCATAGTCATAGTGGGAAACGATTGTGACAGAAAGTTATGTTAGTCTTCTGTACACATGACTTCAAACCTGCTTTAGATCGTTTTGACTGACTTTTGTATTCTGGGGTATACACTACTCTCCTGACTGGTCTCAAACACAGATTGTACCAGTCTATAAGAAAGGACAAAAGTCCTCTTGTGACAATCACAAAGGAATCAGTTTGACTAATATAGTGCCTAGAATATTAGCTTCAATAATATTTCGACGCCTAACTAAAGCTCGTGAAGAGGAGAATAGAGAAAGCCAGGCTGTTTTCCGACCTGAACGTGGCTGTATAGACCAGATATTCACACTACGTCAGGTCCCAGAACATAGACACATTCAGACGTCCCACAGTAGTAGTATTTCTCAACCTTAAGGCGGTATTTGACTCTGTTGATCGTGAGGTTCTATGGCAGTGTTTGTCACTGAAAGTAGTACATTAACCTTGTAAAAGTTCTCTACTCGAACACAACTAGTCGAGTGAGCTTATGGCGAGCTGTCATCAGAATTCTCTCAGTATTCTATCGATTTGGAATACACATATGATATAGCCCTGTTTAGTGAAGACGCTGATACAATACAGCCTTTTGGTAGCACTGAGCAACAATGCCAGAATGTTTGGGATACGCTTCTTCCCCTCTAGATGCAAATTGTTGGAAGGAAGTTAGGGGCGGCCGAACCAATACGCGGCATTAGTGCTTGAAGTTACTAACTTCTAGTCTAAGCCATGTTAGGAGATGCAGACTACTTGGTTGGGGTTCGCGTTACTACCGTATCCAGTGGTTGGAGATTCCTGGTGACATAGTTCCGAATCGATCACAATGGCGTAGGTGTATGCACTCTGTCTTCCTTTCAACTAGGAAATTGAAATCACTTCATATGTTTCCTACTACGAACTAATTCTTTCTTCCTGTACTATGTCTTTATATGCAATTTTTTTATATGTTACCACCATTGAATTAACTACTTTTATGAATCCGGTGTTCACCTTGTTGTGCTAATGAATTGTGGCAACTTGGACAAATGCACATATGTGCCTGGTTCTATGTTGTAGCTGACTGACTGTTATCAGAATTGATTACCTCAGGGATGTCCACTTTCTCCATTCTTGTTTAACTTTCCGTGCATTTAAAGATAACACTTTCCTCATCTAAATTCCCAGGGGTTGAACTTTTACTGGAAGATTCACTTGTTGACTTGGAATATGCCGATGACATAGTTCTATTTGTTGAAGACGCTGACAAAATGCAGTCTTCTGACCACTATAAGCAACGATGCAAGCATGTTCGGGATGCGATTCTCCCCCTAGAAATGCAAAATATTGCTTCAGGATTGGGTTGCATCGACACCTGAACTAATGACAGGGAGTAAAGTAATTGAACGTTTCGACCGCTTCACTTATCTTGGAAGTCTCATCAGCCCTTGTGGTCTGGTGTGTGACGAAATCTCAGCACGGATACGGAAGGCTCGACTAACGTTTGCCGACTTGCGTCATTTATAGTGTATGCGAGATATCCGTCTACCAACCAAAGGACGTGTTTACTGCACAGCAGTTCGTTCCGTCCTGCTTTATGGAAGTGAAAGATGGCCGGTAAGAGTAGAGGATATTCGTAGGTTACTAGTATTTAATCATAGATGTCTTCGAAACATTGCTCGTATATCCTGAGACCACCGAGTAAATAATGTAGTTGATAGGGAACAGGTACTAGGTAAGGATGGCAAATCAATTGATGAAGTAGATGGCTGGGACACGTGTTACGTATGCCCAACCACCGACGTGCTATATTTTCTGGTGTAGGAGTAGGTTGGAAGAAAGCTAGGGGTGGCCAGACCCAAACCTGGCACAAATCCGTGAAGTCACTGACAAGTGGACTGAGCCATGTTGGTAGGTGTAGACTGTCCAGTTGGGGACCGCAAGATGATAGCAACCAATGGTTAGAGACCCTGAATGACATGGCTCAAAATGGTTTGCAATGACGCAGGTGCATCCACTCTTTGTGCTCTCCCAAAATTATAATCTGAATTCTTCATGTCCCTTTCTTTTTTTCTCTTTCCAAATTTATTTCACTGTATTATACTCCTTGAATAACATCTTCAAGCCCTAATGCTTCCGATTACTGTTTTACTCTTACTACTTCTACCACTACGCAATTTGAGTCGACAACTGCATCTATGTGCTAATGTGGTGTGGCAACTCGAACTGATGTACGTACGTACAAAGTTCTACGTTGTTACTGACTGACTGACCCATGTCATTATTGCTGATTTCAAAAATACAGCAAGTAAACATATGACAGTTTTGAAGCTTCTGAGAGTATGTACATAATAATTATTACTTCATTCAATCCACTCACAACCTTCAGAAAATAAGCATCTACTTCAATAATTATCACATAAATTGCATGAGCACTTTTTGAAGGTAAATATGACAGTTCACTATACCGCTTGATGCGTTCTCACCGGTTCTCTGACCAGCATATTGTCTTCATCTTTAAAAGGCAACGGTTTGGTGACCTGGTTCGAGAACTTTGCAAATTTATTTTCCTCTCTTTCGTTAAATAGGTTGGCGTTGAGGCAATAGATTAGTTTTTGTAGGTTTAAATTCTCTTCGTACTTCGGTATTACCAGCCCTCAGATAAACAGTAACGATCATGAGGTTTTGTGGTCAGAATTTCTAGAGCAGTGAACCAGATAAACCCTTCCAAAGTTCTTATCAAAATTTAGGAAAATATGATATTTGCCTTTTTAATCTAAGCGGCAAATAATGCCCGACGTGGAATTCTCTGGGACAACATTCGGAGAACATGTCCAAGCTACCGAAGTCGGTGTTTCAAGATGGTAACAACAATTGAATTATCATCTCTGTGCCCGAACACACGATGCCGAACCTCTGCATTACTGACATGGTGTTGCCACTGAATGTCAGCAATCCTTCGGAGACAGCGATGATCGAACACAGAGAGTCGTCTAACGTCCTCAACTCGGAGAGACCAGGTTTCACAAGCATAGAGCAAAACTGCTCTCACCGACGCGTTGTAGATCCAACCTTTTACAGAAAGACTGACATCACAAAGGCGCCAAAGATGGCCTAGATTGGCATAAGCCGCTCTGGCTTTCACTATACGTACATTGGTCTCATCACTCACGCCATCACCAGCACTTGTGCAGCTACCTAGATACACGAAATTCTCGACTACTTCTATCTGCTCACCATCCAGTATGAGTACAGGATCAGGGTCCTGCAGGTCTAGAAGGTACTGAGTACTTACCATACATACGGATAATAACTGCCAATTTAATAAGTGCGGATTGCATGCCTTGGGCATCATCACACAGTAAGACAATATCATCCGCATACTCAAGGTCGAGAAGTCTTTCTCCAGGCAACAGATCCACACCATCATTACTTACATCCATCAGAGCTGTTTCCAGAATGTCATCGATGGCAAAGTTGAAAAGGAATGGTGAGATTGAGCAACCCTGTCTAACCCCACTGCTCGAATGGAATAATGGAGAGGGGTGGTTGTATGCCCTCACTCTGCCTGAGGTATTTGTATTTGTCCCCCGAATACCCTGGTACGGCCGAGAGTGGGGTGAGTCCGCTCTCCCTCTCGAAATACTCTCACTACTCATTGCCTTCTCGTGGCGGAGGTGTTGTTTATGAAAATGAGAGGACGAAAGCGAATGTCCGGCGCTTTAACCGGATCACAAACCAATGGTGCACATGGGCTCCAGTATCCTGCGGGAACAAATGGAGTATGAACCAATCGTTGGTCACCGGCTACCATGGGATTGCATCTCCTTACGATGCTCCACTGCCTTGTGGGTTAGACCATGAGGACAAAGGCTCGGGGTGTGGCCCCCTAAGATAACCACCTGCTTCGGTTTGGGCACCCGGACAGTATCACAGCCCACACACGAATGATGAACTCTTTATGTCTATGGAAATTATTTTTCTCGCTTCGAAAAAACAATAAATTGATTCAAATTATCATTACAATTATTATTGTTATTATTATTATTATTGTTTTCCACATTATTCACCCTCTCTTATACTTATACAGCGTCTCGTATTTAGTGGAAATTCGACTGTATCTAAACGTTCTCGAGTCACTGTCCGGTTGAAAATTGTATGTTACCACCGAATACGAGAACTGAAGCAGTTTTTCTGAAACCACGTGCACCATTCAAACTAGCTGCCTTCAACGTTCGCACACCAGTGCAGGTCGGACAACAGATAGGGCTGGCTATGTCTTTGGAAAGTCCTAATATTGATGTTTGTTGTCTATCTGAAACCCGTATTCAAGACTCTGGCGAAGTACTACAAATTCAATCTCCATCTGTCGCTTCGAAAAGCTTGTTTTACGTGCGCTTATCCGTGGACCCTGTGGCATCTTCGTCTGGTCTTTCTGGCGTTGGTGTCGCACTAAGCACTAGAGCTGAGGCAGCACTAGTCGATTGGATCCCCATTAACAGTCGATTATGTGCTGTTAGATTAGAAAGTTCCATCAAAGGGAAAAGAAATCGGCGTGAGAAACGATGTCTTTTCATCATCTCCGCCTATGCGCCGACAGATTGCAGCCCGGATGCAATCAAGGATGAGTTTTACCACCAGTTATCTGTCCTTGTCCAGAAAGTGCGTTCGACAGATATTGTAGTACTAGCCGGAGGCTTGAATGCTCAGGTCGGGCGTCTAGCTACAGAAGAGAGTCGTTTAGGTGGCCGATGGGGACTCCTCGGTCGCGGGTCAGATAACGGGGACCGTCTACTGCAACTTAGCACAGACTACAACATGTTTGTGGCTGGCAGTAACTTTCGGCACAGTCATCGCCGATGTGATATCTGGCGTCCTCCCTCTGCATCTCAAGCCTGGACTCAGATTGATCACACCGCGATCAGCTACCGCTGGCGTGGTTGTGTACAAGACTGCCGCTCCTTTTGGAGTACCTATCTGGACTCCGACCATGCCTTGGTCTGCGCCAATCTTACCTTACTTTTCAGTGGCCAGCGAAGTGACCGCTATTGGCTTCCGTCGTACTTCGTAGGTTGTTCAAAACCCGAGAAAGTTTGATTCGCGAGGAGCAGGCTGGTTTTTATTCTGGTCGAGGATGTATTGATTATGTCTTCACCCTCCGCCAAATGTTAGAACACCGCCATACTTATCAAAGGCCAACAATCGTAGTGTTTCTTGACCTCAGGACTGCCTTCGATTCGTTGGACAGGACTGTTCTCTGGGATTGTCTATTGAAGAAGGGTGTGCCTGAGAAGTTTATTAACATCCTAAATGCCCTATATAAAAACACCTCAGGTAGAGTGAGGGCATACAACCACCCCTCTCCATTATTCCATTCGAGCAGTGGGGTTAGACAGGGTTGCTCAATCTCACCATTCCTTTTCAACTTTGCCATCGATGACATTCTGGAAACAGCTCTGATGGATGTAAGTAATGATGGTGTGGATCCGTTGCCTGGAGAAAGACTTCTCGACCTTGAGTATGCGAACGATATTGTCTTACTGCGCGATAATGCCCAAGGCATGCAATCCGCACTTAATCAGTTGGCAATCAGTGTCCGTATGTATGGTATGTGCTTATCACCTTCGAAGTGCAAAGTACTTCTACAAGACTGGCAGGATTACAATCCTGTACTCACGCTGGATGGTGAGCAGATAGACGTTGTCGAGAAGTTCGTGTATCTGGGTAGCTGCATAAGTGCTGGTGGGGGTGTGAGTGATGAGACCAATGCACGTATAGTGAAAGCCAGAGCGGCTTATGCCAATCTAGGCCATCTTTGGCGCCTTTGTGATGTCAGTCTTTCTGTAAAAGGTTGGATCTACAACGCGTCGGTGAGAGCAGTTTTGCTCTATGCTTGTGAAACCTGGTCTCTCCGAGTTGAGGACGTTAGACGACTCTCTGTGTTCGATCATCGCTGTCTCCGAAGGATTGCTGACATTCAGTGGCAACACCATGTCAGTAATGCAGAGGTTCGGCATCGTGTGTTCGGGCACAGAGATGATAATTCAATTGGTGTTACCATCTTGAAACACCGACTTCGGTAGCTTGGACATGTTCTCCGAATGTCGTCCCAGAGAATTCCACGTCGGGCATTATTTGCCGACTCTGGGACTGGTTGGAAGAAGCGGAGAGGTGGTCAGTGCATGACGTAGTGTCGTGGTATGAAAGGAAGCTGCAACGGAATGTCTTCTGTTGGTCCTTCACGACTCCCTGATTGGAATCCTAGAGATGGTGTTACACAGTGGCTAGAGACGTTATCAGATATGGCTCAGAATAGAAGCCAGTGGCGATCATGCTGTAACCTTCTTCATAAAAAGTGGTTGTGTCTCCCTTACCTGAAAGATTTCTTCTGATTGTACCTTTACGTTCCCTCGTTACTTCCACACTACCTTACACCAATCTCTTCGTTATTGTTCTTTTTTTCTTTTGCGCTCCTTAGTTTTTATTTTTCTATTTCTTCGAATTCTCATTGTTCTGTGTGGCGCATATATATTGGCGCTCTCTTCTACCAATATTCATGTGTTCAAATAATAATAATAATAATTTGTATATAGGGCTTTTAGGATGTTAATAAACCTCTCAGGCACACCCTTCTTCAATAGACAATCCCAGAGAACAGTCCTGTCCAACGAATCGAAGGCAGTCCTAATGTTAAGAAACATTACGATTGTTGGCCTGTGATAAGTATGATGGTGTTCTAAAATTTGGCGGAGGGTGAAGATATAATCAATACATCCTCGACCAGAATAAAAACCAGCCTGCTCCTCGCGAGTCAATCTTTCTCGGTTTTTGAACAACCTACGAAGTATGATGGAAGCCAATATTTTGGACGCAATCAGAAGTAGACTAATCCCCTGGTAGTTGGTACAGAGACGATATGAACCGTTTTTAAAGATAGGGACAACTATCGACTCATTCCACGATGTTGGGACACACTCTAATTATTAGACCTTTGTAAACAACGTAGTCATTTCCATAACCAGAAAGTCACCACTATCTTTAAAAGGAGCCGGAGGTAGGTCATCTAGGCTAGTGATTTGTAGTGTTTCAAGAGTCGGAGTTCCTTGCGGACTACCGCCTCATTTGTTGGATCAGTCGTCACAGGCTATGGAGGGCAGGATAGTCTGATCGATGTTGTCGGAGCAGCGGACCAGTTGAACTGCCCTTCGAAGAACTCTGCCCATCGTCTAAGACCCCGATGGATGTTAGTGATTGGCATCCCGTCATCCTCACAGATTGTTTCGCCCACGCTAGACTTCTTGCTTCTAATGGCTCGGATGAGTTGAAAGAGCTTCCGGCAGTTACCAGATGCAGCTGTTGCTTCCAACTAATTAGCACGCTCCGATCAACAGGCTTCTCGGTCTTTACGCAAGCTTTGTCCAATTTCATTGCGTAACATCCTTCGTTTGAGGCCAAACTCACGGTCACCCGTTGCAAAAGAAGCTGCGATCAATTTACTGACATCAATCCGTTTAGGGCAATGAATTTGCTGTCAACTGAAAAGGTAAGATTGGCGCAAACAAGGGCATGATCAGAATCCAGATAGGTACTCCAAAAGGAGCGGCAGTCTGTACACAACCACGCCAGTGGTAGCTAATCGTGATGTGACCAATCTTAGTCTAGGATTGAGATTCAGAGGGAGGACTCCAGATATCACATCGGCGATGACTATGCCGATAGTTACTGCCAACCACAAACAGGTTGTAGTCTGCACTATGTTGCAGTAGACGGTCCCCGTTATCTGACCTGTGACCAACAAGTTCTCATCAGCCACCTGAACGACTCTCTTCTGTGTCTATTCGCCTGACCTGAGCGTTCAAGTCTCCGACTAGTACTACAATATCTGTCGAACGCACTTTCTGTAGAAGAACAGTTAACTGGTGGTAAAATTTATCCTTGTTTGCATCCAGGCTGCAATCCGTCGGAGCACAGGCGGAGATGAAGAAAAGACACCGTTTCTCAAACCACTTTCCTCACACTTTGACGAAGCTTTCTAATCTAACGCCACATAACCGATTGTTATTGAGGATGCAATCGGTCAGTGCTGCCTCAACTCTAGCACTTAGTGCGACACCGACGCCAGCAAAACCGGTCGAAGATGCCATAGGGTCTCTGGGTAAGCGCATGTGAAACAAACCTTTTCAAGCGACAGATTGAGAACGAATTTGTAGTATCTGTTAATATCTTGAAATATCTTAAAGTTGTCAAACGTTGAGTCTGATGACTATTATGATTTTGTATATCTAATTTTTTAGTTTGAAATTATTATATAGGTGTTGAAATAGAGTTATTAAAGCTTAGTAACCGCGTTGGTTTCTGAAACACTTAAAACAGTATAATCGCATGTTGCAAGACTGTCAGCTTTTGCATTTGATCAAATGCACACTACCAAAGACTCAGTACAAGTTTTTCAAAATTATATTTCGGTCTTTAAATTATATATAGGTTTGGTTTGGAGTTGATAAATAAATTTACTTATGTTCATTGTAATTATTCTAGTAAATACTACATGGAACGTCATACTGGAACACATAAGATACCTTATTTCGTCAAGAAAACATTCGAACAAGATTTTTCTGGCAATATTATTCATTTAGAAAGTCAAGTAGAAGAAGAATATATAAGCAACCTTCGATTCCGATGTTACCGAGAAAAAGATTATAGTAAGTTCCTAATCATCTATCTATCGTTTATTTCTCACTAGTAGTTAGTTTGTGTAATCTAATTTTTAAAATTTTTTTTAGTTACGTCTTGATACCAAAAGCGAAATTCAGCAAATGAGTTTCTTCAATGACTCATTCTGTAAAGAAATATATGTAATGAATAAATATGATCAAGAGATTTTAATATCAGTTTATATGGTGTAAATAATGACATTAAGAGGTTGTGTAACTTCTGTATGTCCAAACAAATAAGCGTGTAAAATTAGTAAGCTAACAGTGAATTATGGTTTGTAAGGATGAAATAATTAAATTTTTTGGTTACAGTAACTAAAAGTGTTAGAGGAATTAAATAAAATTATATCAGAATCAATTGTAAATTAATATATGACGTGAGGAATAATTGGAGATGGTACATTTTCAAATGAAAAATCAGTGAAACCAAATATAAATAATAGGTTTTAGCCACGTATAGGACACTTTTGTATACAGAGCTCCGACTTCCTTTCATAGATGTCAAGGACTTCTACTGTTTTAAGGAGTTGAATAAGAAAAAATCTTATTAGATTTATATGAATTCCTTAAACAGCTTCCAAATAGACATGTTGATTAGCTGAGTGATTAAACTCGATTAAATGTTTACGGAGAGAACTCCTAACCACTTTACTCACCCTTACAGAACCCCATTTAAAAATATTCTTGTATCTGTATTTAAAGCAGATACTAGCTACGACCTGTGTACCTTTATATATAAGAGCAGCCAAATACACAGAGGCGATCGGACTGGAGAAATTTCTTACACTAGTACTGAAAACAAATTTCTACTTTTCAATACTAATCGCGGTTTCGGAGCATAGAGCGTTCTTTTAATTTTGTGAAAATTCCTATTTTGACATTTGGCGAATAAACAAGGAACAACGGATTGAGCGAAGTAATTCCCTTTCAGTTAGTTTTTTTCTTCACTCAATTCGTCCGTTTTTTTAATTGCCGAATAAAACCGATTCTTATGTACATCACATGTTTAATCATATTTAAACTCCATGATCACGTATGGATATCTTTTTAAAACGGAATTGTTTGATTCTGTTCTAATTTCTTTCATGTTTATATCTATGAAGCAGCTTGGATAGTCGTTTTAATTCAACGTTTCTCGGAGGGAGTCAAGTTCTTCATCAACGCATTCAGCACGACAGATTTTACGTATTCATAAAGGAGTGAATAACATTCATATTTCTTTCTATTGGAGCCCAGCTATAGAAGTTCTGTAAATGGATCTTTTAATAGATCCATCACTACTTTTTAGAAACACATCGATACACTACCTTATTTTTTTAAAAGAATTCAAAGGAAATATCTTTAGAACTTCAATGCTAATTGCCAGTCTGTTTTATTCGGAACAAAATTTTCACCTAATAGATTCATCTAAAATCAGGACGAACTGATCGATAGTCTCATCTGAATTTCATCATTCCTTCTGTTATATCTGTCTAGTATTCTCATGAATTTCAAGGTCTGAAATCGTCTAATGCTCTGCCAAAGCTCAGAAACAGTGAATTTTACGTTAAGGTCATGTTGGGTGATCTGAACGAAGTACTGTTAGTTGTGCACATTAAGTTAAGATTGAGAATGATTAAAACGATATCACCTTGAAAAATATCGCTTCCGAATCAGTCTTCGCAACCACCTGGTTTTGTTTGTGATAGTAAAGCAGAGGTGTGCATTAAATACTTCATTTTGTTAAAAAATTTACGTCATACACATCACACGTAAAAAGCACATTTTGTGAAGCGTCTATCTACCTATATTCGTCACAAACCTACATATAGCGTCTAATACTTAATACCTCAAAGCACTCAGTCATCATGATTCAAAAATTGGGAACATTCGGGGGATAAAATTTATAAAATTAATTCGAGATAGGAGTCTTAAAGAAAAAGTGAATGCATTTAAACAGTGTTGTAGAATATCTGCAACAACAGATCATGTTTGTCGCCCAGAACTCAAACATTTAATTTAAACCTATACTGTGGATCAGACTAACAATCAGCGACTTCGTGAACTGATCCTGTGTATTGGTTTGACCTCCTTTGGCTTTCTCCCACCCTATTCATACCAGCCGTCACATCAAACTAACTAGTGACTAAGCACATGTAACTCGTGTCCTTATGATAAGGGCGGCCTGCTTGAGCATTTGGGCTACCTGTTCCTGCCATCTAGATGTTTCAACAAGTTATCTATTTTTGTTTGTTTTAATGTGTCGTTATGTCTATTAATCGCATAATCTATTCTGCTGCGTTTCTGAAAAGTGCACAACCTTTCGTTGTCAAAGTTACAAAAAACTCAATAACAGACAATGTGGTTGCTGGCAATATACAACGAAAAGAATGCACATTATTCAGATGTTCATTTACTGGATTGTTAACATCTAACTGGCGATCACTCAATATTTATCGCCAGGACCGACCAAGAAGAAAGAAACGGAAACTTGTTAAAATACTTCACGCTGAAAATTCTATATTGTACCGAAAATGTAATATTGAATAAAGCTAATAATAATAATAATAACCTCACCCAACGAAGATTCATCGTCTGATCAATTGACATGCCATCTTTTCTCAGTACCTTACGTCTAACATCAGCGTTCACTCGGTTGTTACACCATACGAAAGCAGCACTTCCAAAATATCTCAGACCAAGTAATAGTAACCCATGGGATATCCCAAGTAACAGGTTGCTTTGAGGTTGCCTTGCTGAACGATAATCATTGCAACTCATATGTATCTATAGGTTCACAGGATGATTTAGGTTCTCTCACAGAATTAAGTAATTTTTGCATTATGTATTCCATTTCCCTCATATTTCATCCTTGTAGACTCACGTTGACTGATTAATTATATCCATCTGATTTCTCTTATTATACTGGAAATCTTTGATTTGTTCACTATTGCAAATCTTGACCATTTTAAACCTATGTCACGATATCAGCATTGACTAAGTTGGGATTTTCACAATGTCGTTGTTAATAGTACAACAACTGAGACTGATAGTCAAATATTCTTGGCTAGAAGAGATCACGTTTCTCAACTCTTACTCGTTCCATATCACAGTTACTTATTCTCATTACATAATGAGATACTCAGGGTTTATGGTAATATCCAGAATATTTTTCGGGTAATTTTACGCATCTGATCAAATTTACCTCAACTTCCAGTCATTTCGAATCTTCTGTTGTTTACCTTGAATTATTTTTCTTCTCTATCTTTTCCAGAGGAGAATCTCTTATTCCGTGCTAGATATTATGGTGATGATGCTAGTTACGATAGAGCTATGCAGCTCCATATGCCGAATTGTGATCGTCTATCAGAAATATTGGCTACATAATATAATATAGTTGTGTGTTATGCATCTTGTCATAACTATTTGTGAAATTATTTTCCCCTTGTCTACCACAATAAGTAATCATTTAAATTCCCGGCTAATCAGCCGTTAGTTCATACAACATACATAAATACCGTAACCTGAAGAATGACAAATAATCTTTGTTTTTTAGTGACTAAATAATTAAATATCATCTCTTGTTTCTTTTCTTAATTATCTAGAAGTCATTTAAAACTAATATGCTTCATAAACCTACCTTAAGTGATTTATTGTAATTTGTATATATCTCTACAAGATAAAGGAAATTATTCACGTATGTATAGTTTCTTGAGCCAAGTAAGTAGTTAACGTCCTAGCATTCATCTTTCCACGTCTTTTTGAAAGAAATGTGACGATGTTTTATATTAAAAACCACATGTGATAAATAACAACTGTTGGATTTCTCAATGAATCGTAAGCGTATATTGCTCTAATTTTATTAAGATTTCTGAATCATTTTCGATGACGAAATATGTTTAAACAGTGTTTTCCCTTTCTGATTCTTATTTCACTATGTTTTGTACAAGAACCAGAGCATAGACGCTATTCATTTGTTGTGATTTGAATGGTTTCATTGCATAATTATTAAAGGATTTATCACAAACTTCTGTTTTTTTTTCGTGTGTGATAGCGAAGGTGCATGCTCGGTCCCTGTGAAAACCTTATACTTGGTTAAGTATAACTTGCAGCTGTGAAATTCTTTTCGTTGATTAAGACATTCAATATGGAAGTTACTAAACTACACTTACAGAGTTACAATAACGTGATTTGATTTTTAAAATCGAAAAACAGACCAATTATAGCAATTTACCCAGTTTTAAATAATTGTATTGGGATTTATATGTTTACATATGAATTATTCGCTTGTATAGTTAAGTGAATTTTCCTACAATGTATATGCATATTTGTCTTGATGAGTACCTTAGTCACCGACCATTATCAACAACAACTCATTCGTGGGGCGGTCTCGTGATTTCAGTTACTACACGATCACATGCGTGGTTTTTCGGTTTCCTTGAAGCTTGACAGTAACAATACATTACATTGCCGGTCTAGCTTTCCTCAAAAAAATCAATTTGCAAGTTGTGTTCGAAAGTATTAACACTTGCTTTCTAAGATCCTTAGTATGGCATCACAGCACGTCTTCAAGACAAGGTTTTTTGAGAATCAGCAGCAATACATAAAAACTAAAAGTGATAAAAATAAGATGTATATGGTCGTAGAGTAAAAAATAACATCAATTTTTCTTGGTGGTTATGCACAGGTTGGACGGATTATGACTAAGCCTCTATTGTCTTCGAATTTCAGATGTACATAATTAAGCTATGTACATTATTTAAAAACTGGCAGATGCTAATTCTGAGGAACATTTCTGTCCTATTAAGTCTTGTACTGAACTGAATCAATTGATAAACTTGTGCTTAAAAAATCGGACGATTGAGATGAAAATTTAACAAAACATATGATTTGATCTTGTGTTGTAATTTTATCTCATTGAGTATCATTCACATCATTGCCTTTACACACAACCCATCCCAAGAAATGATTGAGGTCTCTGGACATGATTTCACATTTATCACATTAAAAATGGCTAGGACTGCTCTTTATATGCCCAAGTGTGCGTATGACTGGTCGAGATTAGTGAAACGATGGGTTTTTTTAGGGACTCAGGTGAAGTGACAATTGTTGTACTGGGTTTCTACATGCAATCTATTGTTCTTAGTATTCTAGTTTAGTATCACAATAAGTGATGTCACAATGTGTTAAAAACAGACTTGTCATTTATGCTTTGTTCCCAAGTTACTACATGCCATTTTAAACTTTTATCTGCACTATCAACATTACTTCAGAGTCGTTTCCTACACATTACGCATTTGAGTAAAGCCTTCTTAAGATATCAATTTACATATCAGGATCTCTGCTAATGTATCTCGCATAAACGTCTATATTTCGAAGGAAGGTTTTAACCACGTAATGTTAACATTACGTAGTATTTGTGTATCCAAGCATCTGCTAATAAATGGTGTGAATCGCGAACTACCCGTTTCAGTAGTTAGTACAATGTAAGTTTATATTTAAAGTAGCTTCTGCGTAGCCTAAAATTTGAGTTGACACGTTCATATGTATTCACTTGTTATAACGTAACTCACCCACGTCAGATTTATGCACTTTAGAGTTCAAAGTTTTGCATAAATACAGGGTTAGAATACATTGTCAAGCTTGTGAGCTTACTTTCATGTATGTTCCAGTATATGATAAACTATACAGGGTTTCACATCCCCAACGTTTTTGTAGGGGTTTATTTGGTTAGTTATGTAATACTAGTTTTAACTGACATCATGATGTTAGTTCGTGTCTATTCAAACTGAAAAAAGCGTGTAAAATAGCCGGATGAGTGGACTTTCGTCTTCTATTTTGCATGGGAGCAAAGAGCCTCCACAATGTGCTTGTGATATATGTCATTGGGTAACAGTTTGTTTTACTAGAAATCAACAGCTTAATTTCAGTAAATCTGTGATGATTCACACAAAGGTTAGTCTGCAACGTACATTAATGTCTAATATATGTGTCGTATATGCCACTACTATTGGTTAATAGTTTACTCTTAGTTAAAGTAATTTAATAAGATATAATCCTGTCAGTCTCGGCTTTCAAATATGTAATAGGGTACAGAAATCTGATTGCAATATCCTTGGTTTCTAAAATCTTAGTGTTCATATGTCGTATTAACAGTGGAAATAATAATTGCTGAATATCCCAAATGAGTCTTTGTCCATACTAAAGATGGATTTAAAAGATTGTTATTGTTAGGCTCAAAATTCCAGAAAAAATATATGTGATTAGTATTAACGGAAATTACAGGTGTACGCAAAAGACACCCACCGATACAGAACTCTGATTCATGAGATAACTGAGTTATGTGAAATGATGTGGCACCCTCAATGATAATATGACACGAGATTAGTTGACTGTTCTTAGTGCCTCGGTTGGTTAATTTCATCTAAACGTGGAAAACAACTATGCAACCTGATTTTTCATTACATCGAGTCACTATGTAGTGAACGCAAAGTCCTGATTATAACATCACATTTCATTTGAAGACAAGAGACCTCTTTCCTGCCGTTATGATTTTTCTTGATTATTTCCACGGTTTTAAATATATCTGGGTGTATTGGGATAGTTTTGTATTTTACCTTAACTACTAGTTCTGACATTCCGAGTATGAAGTTTGATCGTCAAACAAATGTTTGTAGTAGTATTATGGAGTGATATTTTAATAATTTCTCGTTATTACACCCGATATAATGATAGCAGGAATTTTAGTCCGAAGGCTTTTGAAAACTTTGATTCACATAACAGCTGAATGATAGAGAGTTACTAGTGACCATGTGTTAAGAACTATAGATTATGTTTAGTAGATTGAATTGTACTAACATAATGTTGTCGAACGTTTCTCTAGGGTAAAAACCGACCTTACACAGTATTGCTCAAAAAGTAAAGTGAACATGCCTGATGAAGACTGACGTTAAATAAACTCTCTATGCCTTCTTAAAGCGTAAGAGTTTTCATGTAGAGCAATTACAAATGAAATTTTTTTGTTATACACTCTTCAAGGGACTAAGGTGATGCAAGTTTTTCAATGCTAAAGTTTACCAATGACTTGTATCCATACCAGTATTCTGTCAAAATGCGAATTTTCTTTCTTAGCTTAAATTCAGCAGACATGTAAATCATATAGATCCCTTCATGGCTCCCATACTGTGCACCATCTTGTTGATGTAAAAATATCGAGAACGTGAATCATTTTACTTCAACTATGCAACTAATGCTTTTCTGTTCTGCTTAAGCTGACTGGTGGTTAGGATCCATCTGGAAAGTCTGTTTTTAAGTACACTGTAATCAGTAGATTGTTTGTCACTTGAGAACAGCTTTCGAAATTGTGTTATTTTTGGCCGATTCATTTCAAAACCCACCGGGACGGTGGGGGGAGAATTCATTAAGAATGCTGTATTGAGAAGATAGTCATGTGGACAGTTTTTGTTACTACTATGTTCAGTTCAGTACATTCTACCATAAAAATAAATCCTAGACATAAAATTTATGACGGGTTTGGTTACTACCAGTTATTACTCTAACTGTAAAAACACCCTGTGCATTCGTACTCATTAAATAGATATACTAGTTGAGAGGCAAAGCTATCAAGAAACTGTTCCGTTAAGATTACCAGAAATGTTCAGAATAAGAATAATTAATGATTGTTAAGTTTACAATGAATCCTATCGTTCATTTATTACTGTAATAGTACCCAGCTACTCAGTGTAACTCAATGTTTGTGGCGATCATTCTTCTATGTGCCTAGAAATCAAATGAAGATTATCGTCGACAATCACCTACCTTATTATATGGCATTCCCAATTTAATCGTACTTGAGTGTGAAGACGATGTTGGGTTATATCATTGAAATAATTAAATATTGTATTATCATTTAATCACAATTTGGAAATTCTCCGACATCTGCATTCAACAACTTTAGGTTGTTAGCAATTTCTCCAATTTTCCTCAATTAGTAATGAAAAGTATGTATAAGTTGACCAATTCTGTAAAATCATGAAAATGATACAGGTATTCAGTGTTTGACAACGCTTTTACCAGCAACACCTAATATAAATTGTACCCACCGAGAGAAATCAAAAGATCGGAAGAGTGTATTTGGCGATTACCAATATATCGGAATTCTCTGATCTAATCTGGCTAGCGATTGCGATAGATGTTGAGCACAGCGTTACCACACGTGATGTGGTGCGGATGCATGACCGAGCGCCTTTAGCTAGATGAGTCCACTAAAACATATGATCAGCATCCAATGTCAAAAACTTACAGAGCTATTTATTTTGGGGATTTATTTACCGCTACAGGTCACCCCCCCTAGTGGGGCAGAGATGACCCTAAGACGTGGCCAGCCA